CAGGGTTGACTCAGCCTTCCATCCTTCCGAGGTGGGTAAAATGAGGACCCAGATTGTTGGGGGCAATATGCTGACTCTCTGTAAACCGCTTAGAGAGGCCTGAAAGGCCTATGAAGCGGTATATAAGTCTACTGCTACTGCTATTTATCAGAGACATAATAGGGTAAAAATAGCTGACATGTTGGTAAATATGTGTGGCATTTTTTAACAGTGACTATTTAACAATTCCCACAAGTCCATAAGACATACATGTTTTATCTACTGTAAAAATCAATTATAATCATAATCCATGATATGATAGGATATGATATGATATGATAATGATAATCCATTTGGATTCCTTTCACAAAGTAGGGAATCTGGGATTTTTTTTCACCACTGTAATTATCATTATTTTGGCTAACATTATAAAAAAAAGTTATTGACTTCCCATCACTGCTGCAGTTTCCTTTCATATAGAATGTCTTTTGATTGGTCCCAGAACCTCTCCTCACCTTCAGGAGCCTACAAAGCAGCAAGAATGGTGTCCTGATTTGAAACAGCTGCTTTGATCCTTGCTCCCTCCCCACTGCAGATCCCAATTCTTGGCCATGACAACCAAAATGGTCATGGTGAAAAGCAGATTTTGTATTCCAAAGACAAGTGGCAGTTTATAGTATATGACCACCTTAAACAATTTACAAGATAGAGAAACATACACAAACCTGTGGGATTTTGTAAGTGCCTACTAATGTTGACATCTGGATGGAGCTGTCACTGTCACTTGCATCGAGAAGAACCAAAATGTTGTCCTTTCTTCCACAGCTGTAGTTGGGAACATTGGCTTCTCCAGTGGAGAGAATGTCCAGCAAGGCATCTGAAGTGCCAAGGGTGTTCAAATAGTTGTCGTGGATGTTGTAGCCAAGGGTGAGGTTGTGCAGGAATTGGAGTTCTTTGTTAACCGTGTGAATATTGAAAATGAAGCATAGTATGCTTGACTCACTAAAGGGTAAGCTAGTGTAAAAAACATTAAAGTTATTACCAGCATCATCAACATCAATAACAAAATACTTTTAAAAATTTAATTGCCTTTGTCTCCATAAGCCCATATAGTCTTAAGCCAAGACAGATCCAAATTCACACACAAATCAGAGTTATTCATCACTGTTTAATTTTAATGACTGTTGAGAAGACAGAGATAGTCCTCCATCAGAGTTAAGAAGCACAAATAACTACTATTCCAGGCTTCAAAATCATTCAATCACTACAATATAATGAGCAAAATAGGAAGAAGCTCTTTGTCATAAGTGACAAAGAAAAGCAATTCCAAAAACAAGTCATTCTCTAGTCCTGTCAGCTGTTAAATATCAAAGAGCAGTTATGAAACTATGGAAATGGGCTGGGTGGGCTGTAGAAACTACAACAACCCATTGAAAAACTACTTCAAAGAAAACATCAGTATTCAAGTATCGAACCAGAGGATTGGAAGGAGAAGGAGAAGTAATATGAACTATTTTCCTTTTTTGTTTCTCCTCTGGATTTAACAAAATAAGATGAAAGTTGGAAGTCACGGAAATATGGTCTTGTTTTACCAAAGTAAATGAAGAAAAGAAGAAGAAAAGGAGAGTTTTAGGACCACAAATGGAGGGAATACAGCTCCATCACACTGAACAACTTACGAGTTAAACTGACTATAAGGAGCCGCATTGAAAGGGAGCACTATAGGCAATTCTTCTGTTGCAGTGGTGATGATACTAATGAGATGGTCTCCTGCCCTGTAGTAGCTCCATGGTCTTTTTCCATCCTGGTGCTCGAAATTCAGAAGGCACTTCGTTCTAAGTTTTCCAGATAGTGGCTGGGACACCAGCAGTATCAGAAGCAGAAGCAGGAGGTCCATAGCTCATGGGGTGGAATCAATACGCTTCCATTTTCTAGACAAGAACAAGAAGAAGAAATAGGACAAGTTAAGAATTCTTACAAGATGGGAATGCCAGTGACAAACTGAGCTTCCCGTGGAAAGGAGGGAAAGGAACATTCAAGAGTACAGCCCTGCCTGTCTCAAAACCTGTGGCACTCAGAACAGGACCTGAGATGTTTATCCTTTTCTGATGCAAGATCCTTTCCATATTGCTTTAGTCTGATGTTGACATCAAAGGCAGCCACTGCAGAAGGAGGAGAAGAGGACTTGTTGACTGGGATGGTGATAATTACAGTGAAAAGTAACTTGTCCTCTGGGGACCCTGAAATGTTTTGTTCTTTTTCTCCATGTGGAAAAAGGAACTGGAGAAAAGTGTGTTTATGAAAGATCTTAGACATACCTCTAGAGGGCACTATTCTGTAGTCATTGTGTCCTTCCTATCAGGACATGTCCAGAAAGAGATGCTGGAGTAAGATCATTCAGAACCAGGGAATTGACTTCTACTGTTTTTCAACATGGTGTCTTGTCTCAAGGTCTGCTAAGGAAGGACACTCAGGGCCATGGGGTTTGGTGCCATGATTGATGGATGACATGTAGCTTGTAGTGCTGTCTGCGTCCTAACACCAAGGAAGGAAGCATTACTTGAACCATGCCCAATGTTAAGAATAGGGCATGTTTCTTGTTTTTTTTTTAAATTAGATCTCCATGGATTAATTCTCAATTGAAGCTGATTTTACAATTACTTGTTTCTGAAGTGAGGTTTTACAGTGTGTATATATTGAAACAATTTTTTTTTAAATAAACGGTGGGGCTGTGAGTCCCAGGGTGCTCTTTCAAAAGGCACCTGGACTTTGATTTTCCTTGAAGATGTTTCACTTCTCATCCAAGGAGCTTCTTCAGCTCTAACTGAATGACAGAGGATGGAAGGATTTGGGTTCCTTGCCATCATCTGGTTGTTAGCACTCTTTCTTGAGGCCACCTGGAAGTTTATTTGTGCCCTTGGGGTCACCTGGATAGTGCAAATGGGTGTGGAACCTTCTTGGAACTGCAGAAAGGACTGTGTTGTAAATGGGAGACAGGTGGTGTCATATCCCTCACCGTCTTGAGAGAGGACTGTTCAATGTTAACGTAGATGGCCTCTTTGACCTGACTTTCAAATCAAAAAGTCCAGTTGACTTTTGAAAAAGCACTTTTGGAACAACCAGGACCTGGATGATTGGGAATCTCCACAGGCAGTGGGGTTGGGAGGTTTGCAGCTGAGATGATGGTATACCCCATGTGATGGCTGGGGTTACTTCACCTGGAGGTCATCTACATGTGGATTGAATACTCTTAATGGGTTGGGGTCATGTTGGCTTTTTAATCCCCTGAATGTTAAGAGTTAAATGCAAATGTAGCCATGTTTCTGCTTGCAGGGGTCACCCATCACCACAAGAGCCCCCTTTGCCATTTCCTTCCCCCAAATGTGAACTCTGTCTTCAGGGGATTCAAGCCTCCCGTTGATATCCTTGCACCCCCATCAAGCTCTCTTTCTGGTATAGAAGTGTTGGGGGTCCTGTATCTATCCAGATGTGGTTTGGTAACATCCTCCCCTCTGGTTGGAGGCCTCCCCTCCTTCGATCTTGCCCCAATGGGACCCTGCAATGCTTGGGCCTGATCCTCATTGCCTCCTGGAAGTTGCCACCATTTTCCATATTCTGACAAGACCTTGTAGAAATTGCAGCTTTGGAAGCTCTCCACCCTGATCCTCAGGCTGTTGGAAGACTGCAAACTTCTTCTGGCTCTTTCTAGCTTTGGGAAACCAGACACTGCATACTAAGGTGGCAGGTTCAGGATGAGCTTCCTAAAAACGTTCCCTTCCTCCTTTCACCCCCTTCCTCCTCCCAAAACCCAAATTTCTTCAATAAAGTAACACAAAGGAAACCTGGGAGAGACAAATGTCGTTATATTTCACTTTTTCCCCCTCACCGCAGAATTAGATGCTAACACTAAACTCTCCTCCTCTACCCTTGAATCTCTATCCCCCTTAACAATTTGCTAAAAATGCAGCATGCCTGAAACAGAATAACAGAGTTGGAGGGAATTTTGGAGGTCTTCTAGTCTTACCCTATGTTTGCAACCCTAGTTGCTATGCTGTTAATTAGGTCATACAAAACCTTTGCTAGACCTATTCTTGAATACTGCTCATGTGCCTGGAACCCACACTTCATTTCTAACATCAATACATTAGAGAAGGTCCAGAGGTATTTTACAAGAAGAGTAATCAAATCCTCTGCTCGTAATAAAATTCCGTATACCACAAGGGTTGAAATTTTAGGCCTGGATAACTTTGTACTACGTCGACTACATTCTTACCTGAGCTTAGTGCATGATAATTTGCAAAAATGTCCTACCTGTTAATGACTACTTTTACTTCAACTGCAATAACACAAGGGCTATCAATAGATGCAAACTAAATGTAATCCATTCTAATCTTGATTGCAGAAAAAATGATTTCAGCAATAGAATAATAAATGTGTGGAATACCCTACCCGATCCTGTTGTCAGTTCCTCTAACCCCCATACCTTTTACGTTAAACTGTCTACCATGGACCTTATACATTTCTTAAGAGGTCCCTAAGGGGGCATGCATGAGCTCACCAGCGTGCCTACTGTCCGTGTCCTACTGTCCCATTTATATGTATTCTTTTTATGTGTTTATGTCTATGATTTGTTTATTTTTATTCATTTATTTGTGCCATTTTTTCATGTGTTTTTCATACTTCCTTGTACTTGTTGACAAATAAAAATAAATAAATAGAACCCTCTGCTCAAGCAGGCAACCCTACCATTTACCATCTCAGACAAATGGCTGTCCAATCTCTTTCTAAAACTCCCAAGTGTTGGAGCACCCATAACTTCTGGAGGCAAGTCCTTCCACTGATTGATTGTTCTCTCTGCCAAGAAATGTCTTTTTAATTTTAGGTTAGTTTGAAGTTACTTATTTTGATTCCAAAGAGTCAAAGAGAAAAGGAAAGAAGCAAGCAAAGAAAGTTTTTGTTCTATGTTGACATTGCTGACGTTGAGTTCAGTGTTGGCTCAACTGCCCCACTGCATATGATGAGGCTTCTCCCTCAGCAGATGGGTTTCTGACCACACCTAAGGCTGCCCTGACTAGATGGGTTGGGGGCTCCATCCACCTTCCTCTTTTCCAGCATGCCCTCCCTTCCCTTGACAGAAAGGGACATCCACCTCTTGCAGCCCACCTGACCTTCTAGGACTTTTGCTTTATCAACCTCCCTGCAGCCTTCATCAGTATTTGAAATCCATGGTCAAAATTGGAGCTTTCCTGCTGCTTCTATACAGACCAACCTTCCTGAGTTTAGCAATTTGGAGCCCACTTTGGCTGGTCTTGCAAGACTGAAGCCAGACTCTGGAAGGTCAGAGCCTCAGCCACCCTTGTGCAAAAGTTATCAGAAAGACCATAGGTGGGAAGGTTTTTCAGAAGTGGTTTGCCATTGCCTCTTTCTCAGGGCATCAGAGATTGGCTGGCCCAGGTTCACCCAGCTGTTTTTGTGCCCAAAGGAGGACTAGAATTCATGGTCTCCTGGTTACTATCCTGAGGACTTGGCCATAGACAGGCTCTGATCATAGCCATACAACCCACTTAACCTGGTTACTTCACCAATGGTTGCATTCTCACTTGCAACATTTAACTATGGTTTATTTTCTGAGGTTGAGAATCTGTTAGTGAATCATGTATATTAATTCAGCAGGGAACAGTTGAACAGTCATTTATAACAGAGATAAGCTGGAGACAGTTTTGTTCCTGTAAGGGCCACATTCACACAACATACTTCACCAGACAGAGAAAATGTTCTTGCAGCCACCCAGGGACAAAAGACAGCTCTAGGTGCAGCCTCATGAAAGGCTATAATAAACCATGAATGACCACAGCCATTCCCCCCTCCACTTCCCTGGGCTCTCTCCAGATGCAAACCTACAAATTAGGTGACCACCTTTCCAACTGAGGATAGTTTTCTTCCCCTCTGGGCTAGGCTTCAGTGAGACATAGCAGTAACATGATGGGCAGGAGAAACCATATTACACAGCAACCTGGCACTCCAATTCACAGACAACAATTGGAACCTGGAGCCACTAGCAGACACTGAGAATGGAAGCTGTGGACTCTACAGTAGGACAACTTTCAAATAATGGAGCTGGGATATTGGTCATCCTGTGCTCCTAGTTTTAAGGATGGACCTGCCTATTCCTTTTGCTTCCCCTCTCACTCAACCCTCACCTCCCAATTTCTCCCTTCTAGGCCAAGCTATACCTATTAACATTCCCACTCCAGATAAGAATCATAATTCATCAACAATTGACCAAGTTAAACCAGAACACAGGAACTCCAAAGTGGTCCTTTGAAGCACTTGGAGGTCTTCTGGGGTGGAGTTTCAAATAAAGGCTCAGAGATGAGAATGTCACAGGAGTTGCACCATCTGCAAAACTAGAGAAACTTACAGCAGGCCCCTCTAAACCAACTACTTGGAGGTTGTGGAAAAAATCAGGTTACACCATCCACCACACTCTGGGTGCTGTCGCCATCTCAGCTGCAGACCTCACAGGATATTGTGGTTGCTAAGAAACCATGAAATTTGAAAATTTAAAGACTCTCAGTGTGGAAGAGACAATACAGAAAGTGAAAAGGAAACTAAAGCAAAAACCTCTATCCATTATTCTATAATCATCTCTCTATTAGCCAATGATGTAGTCAACAGGCCATCCTGTTCTTGTCTCTAAGTCTGCTCTCATGCAAAAATTGATTTTTCTAGAAAAAAAGGCAAATTAAATTTCTCTTCAGTTATAAGAAATTCAAAAATCAGTTCTGAATTGGGATGAATATATGGAAATCCCATTGAAAAAAAAATCCCAAATTCCTAACATTAAGTTTGGTTCAAGGTTAATGAATGCTTCCATGGCATTAGAGTAAAGACAGCACTAGAGTTAAGTGGCATCAATGTAGAATGGCACCAAACTCCTTAGCAGTCTCTGGAGACAAAAGACCACATTGAAGGACAGCAGAAGTCATTTTTCTGGCTGTTGAGATATCTTGCTACAGCTTCACTTTGTAGACATGTCCTAATAGGAAGGACTGTGAACACTACACAACTATCTACACAGATCCACCCCCCAAGAGGTCTATCTGTGATTTTTTCAGGTTCAGGATCCCAAGAGAAATTCCTTCTCACTGTAATTACCACTTCACAGGGCTTGAGACCTCTTCTCCTCTTTCTCCAGCGACTGCCTTTGATGTAAACATCCCATTGAAGTGACATGGAAGGGATCTTACTTTAGAAAAAGATAAATGCCATGCATATGTTACAGTTACAGAACAGGCAGGAGCTGTGATCTTCAATGTACTTTCTCTCTCTTCAAGGGGAATCTTGGTTTGTCTCTGTTTGAATCAGGAAGGCCACAGGATATTCCATTCTGTGTGACTGCTTCCAATTCTTCCAATTGTTTTTTTTAGAAACTGGAAGGAGATTGATTCCACCACATGAATTATGGACCCCCTACTTCTGCTTCTGCTGCTGCTGGTGCCCCAGTCAGTCTCTGGGAAACTGAGAAAGAAATGCCCACTGAATTTGGACCACCAGGATGGAGAAAAGCCATGGAGCTATTATAGGCCAGGAGATCTTCCCATTGGTATAGTCATCTCTGCGTCTGAAATAACACTTACAATGTTACCTTTCAACATGGCTCCTTCTAGTCAGATTCAGTTGTAAGTCATTCACTGTGATGGAGTTTCATTCCCTTCATTTGCAATTTTAATACCTTTTTCTTCTTATTATTATTTTACTTACTCTGCAAGACCTGACTAATTTCTTGAATCCTTTTGCTTTCCACCGCCTCTTACTTTTGACTTTTTTTCTAGGAGAGGCTCAAATCCAAATTATGAGGAAAATAAAAACTGACTTGAATACCAAGTTGTCTTGAAAATAGTGATTGTTCTAATTTCGAGGTCATTTCTATATTTTTATAACTGTATTCAATCACTTATTTTTTTAGGAATAGAGGATGGCATGTTTTAGAATAACTTTTCTCAATCACTTATTAAACATCCTCTTCCATGTATTATGTATTGATTTTAATGACTTAAATATTCTGACACTTCGTTACTGGGCTGATGAAAATTAGTTCTGCTACAAATAATAGTATATTACTATATTTCTTCATTTTAGTTCTTTTGGAGAACTATCTCTATCCTGAACATACACAATATTAAAGAGTGATCTGTTACTATAATTTCTCTGATTTGGATCAATATTGACTTAAATCTCGGCTAACTTGCAGAAGAAAAGAGGATTAAATAGAGAAAAATGTTTAATTTTTGCTGTAGATGATCCTAATATTAACATTGTTTTGCACTAGTTTACCGTATTACAAGAATAGGATACTACACATGATTTTCAATATTGATGTGTTTAACAAAAATCCCCATCTCCTGCACAATCTCACTCTTGGCTACAATGTCTATGACAACTATGTGAACACACTTGGGGCTTCAGATGCCTTGCTGGACATGCTATCTACTGGAGAAGCCAATGTTCCCAACTACAGATGTGGAAGAAAGGACAACATTTTGATGATTGTTGATGGAGCTTTCGAAGATATCTCCCTCCAGATGTCAACATTAGTCGGCGCCTACAAAGTCGCCCAGGTTTGTGTTTATGTTTGTCTATCTGTTGTTGGTTGAATCTGTCTATCTGTTGTTGGTTGAATTCCATCTCTATGGGATTCAACCTTTGTTTTCACCATCACATTTTAGGTGTCATGACTCGGGATTGGGGCAACAGTGGGGAGGGAACAATATTGAAAACTGAAATATTTACTCATGACAGCATCTCCATTGCTTTGAGGGCTTATGTTGCATAATTGTGAAGGTGAGGAGAGGCTCTGTATTCATTCAAAGGGTCTTTTGTACAATAGGAAGATGTAACACCAATGGAAAGCCCACATTTTTTTCATGATATTACCCATGAATATTACAGCATTCATTTTTATTGGAATAGTATATGATCTGCTTTATGAGCAAGGGTTCTACTAGAAAACCTCCAAGATCCCTTCCATCCAAATTATTCCATATTCTACATTCATTTGTTTGAGAGTGTATTTTAGGACATGCAAGCGGCTGACTTAAATAGAGCTCATGTGCACATGCCTGCATGCTGCTTTGGCAAATGAGGATGCATTTGTGCACATGGATGCTTGTCATCCATTTCTATTGCCTTGTTCCAAACCTTTCATGAATCACTAGTTGGCTATGGGTCATTGGTTGGAAAGCCCTGTTTTAGGATCCATGGAGCCCTGAGAAGGAGGACTGATTCTTACCAGAAGGGAAGACAAGGGTAAAGCCTACATAACATTTGGGTTTCATATACTGTTAAGAAGACTTAGCTCCTCCTCTCATAAGAATTATCTGATTATTGATAAGTCAAAGTCAAAAGTTACGATCTTTGGAAAATGATATCATTGTCTTCACTGCTTTTTTCAGGTCAGTAATAGAATTGCTTCAGAGGCTCTGAGTGATAAAAATCAATTCCCTTTTTTCCATCCAATATTCCCCAATGAAGGGTTTCAATACCCAGCAATTGTCCAACTGCTCCTCCATTTCAAATGGACCCTGATTGGCCTCTTTGCTCCAGACACAGAAAAGGGAGAGCATTTCATGAGAACTTTTACTCCTATGCTTGTCAGGAATAGAATTTGTGTTGTTATATCACAACAATTCTCAACAACCACACACACAGCACCCCTCAGCAATGCCATCTCTAAGTGGAAGCAAGTTAATGTCTTTGTTCACTTCATAGAGTTTGATTCCATTAGGGACAGAATTCTTTCCTTCCATTCAATACTTGAAGGTTTCCCAACACCCATTGAAGGGAAGGTATGGATCATGACAATGGTTGGGGCCTATTTCATGGGTAATGACCCTATTCTCAAGTATGTCCATAGTATTTGGAGTTTTCCTCCTCAGTGGCAAAAGAATTGGAGCAAAGATGATACCTATAAAACTCTTTTCTTTGTGGAACCTGAATTTCAAAATGAGTATTTTCACTGCTCTGTTTCAAAACACGTCTTTTCTGTCAAAGGCCGCAGAAGATGCACCCAGAAAGCACCAGTAGAGACACAAGAGAAAAAGAATAGGATGCAGATACCAAATGACGGCTATACTTACAGCACCATTAAGATTCTGGCTCATGCCTTAATTGCTGCATCCAAATCCAAGAGGAGAAGGGAAAAGGGAGAAGAGAGGTTGGGAGCTCCAAGGCTGCAGCCATGGAAGGTAAGGGGTCCCAACAAGGATCCATCAGACTAAATTCCTTTTCAAAGTCTTTGGGTGCACTTTCGTCTTAATTGTTTAAGATCCTAAGCTTATGCACAGCATCTTATACTTACTGGAAGAGCCCTGCATCCTCCCTTCTGCAACCAAGATGCTTTGTATATTCAAAAAAAGTGTTCCAAGGCTTTTTCTGATTTTAAGCTCTTGTAAACCAGCATGGCTCTTCTCCTTGATTCTTTGCTAAAATCAAGTAATATCACCAGCATTCACACATTAATAAGGAAATGCGATGATCATATGTGGGAATGAATTTGGAGGATGAGAGAAAGAGATGCTGCTTAGGGGAAGATTGGATAAGATGTGGGGGAGGAAACCAGCAGCTGCATAACAGCCAGAAAAATAAACTCAGATAAGATCTGTCAAAAGAGTTCATTAAAATATTTGGGTCTTCCCATTGTTAATATAGTCTTACAATAAAGTAGAATTAGTTCATCTGGTTATTGCTCCCCCTCCCCGCTCTACTTGAAAAAGATTGGCCTTGCAACTATCTTCTTAATAAATGCTTGCTTTCTGCTTATCACCCTGTTGTTTTCAATGAGTTTATGAATACTCTAGTTATTTGTGTTTCCTAATATTACCCTTTAATTGACATCAAATAGTGTATTTGATATATATAGTCAGTTAGTCAATTTTTTGCACGCGCATAAAAGTGATTAGGAACCCATCACTTCTCCACTCCTCCTCTCTAAGCCACCTTTGGAATGACCTTGGTTCCCACAGGAAAACCTTTTATTTTGACAAGCTGAAAAGACCCAGATATCTAATTTCTCCTCTCCCCCTCCCCTCTTCTGCCTTGTGGAAACCCTGAAGCCAAAAAGATGGCCCCAGCTAGGTTCATTTCAAGGTTGACATATATCTTCCTACTATACTTTTGGTCAATATACTAAGGGATACTATTACTGAATCTTTGTTCTTGAATTTTGAAGATGGTGGCAACACTTGTTCACCCAACTCAGGAAAAAGATTCAAATATAAAAAGGTAACATAAGATAAACAAACCCCAAGGTTTCTGCTTGTAAAATTCCTGGATGTTTCCATTTTAGTTCCATTCATTTCTAAAGAAGAAAGAATTCTACAATCTTTCCCTGATCAGTGTGTACTTGGATCAAAATGGAGACCTAGCAGCAGATCTGTGGTTCATTAGTAGGGTGATTCTTCCCAAGGAGGATCCCATCAACAAGTATTTGGGGTGTTTTGAAAAGCAACGACTTATAATCAACCAAGATACTTTGTCACTGCTAAAGTTGCTCAACAAGGTGGGGAAAATATTTTCTTCATTTTTCCAAATAATTAGGACCCTTTTCAAATGTTAACCCACGTTGTCAAAAAAGTGGGTATTCTGCATTGAGAATTGACTGTGGGGAGTAAAACATCCCTAATTATATTAGATAGAGAGGGGGGGCTTCATTTTTATTGACCAAAGTATCCTTCAGATGCTATAATGCTGAAGCTGTTATAAACTGATTCATCTACATAAAAAATACGATTTGGGACACAAATCATTGCTAATTTATGTCTCTTTTGCAATTTATCACCATAAAACTGGTGAGATGTTTCCTAGTTTCAGTTTCACATGTTCTTTCTCTTCAAATATGAGAGATGAAGGCAATTCTACTAACCAGAGCCTGACTTAAGGTTTAGATTGAATCCAATGAAATGGAATCAAGATTGGATGGAGGTTCTGTTGTTTCAATTGGGAAATAACAGAATAACAGAGTTGGAAGGGACCTTGTAGGTCACCTAGTCCAATCCCCTCTAAAGCAGGTGACCCTACACCATTTCTGTCAGATGACAGTCCAGCCTCTTCTTGAGAGCTTCCAGTGATGAAGCTCCCACAACTTCTGAAAGCAACTTCTGTTCCATTGGTTGATTGGTCTCACTGTCAGAAAATGTCTCCTTATTTCCAGTTTGAATATCCCCTTGTTTAGTTTCCATCCATTATTCCTTGTCTGGCCTTCAGGTGTTTTCAAAAATAGTTTGACCCCCTCCTCTCTGTGGCAGCCCCTCAAATATGATCCTTCTATTAACTAGACTAGCCATGCTTAGTTCCTGCAACTCAAAGAGCCATTTGGAGCCATTTCCCATGGAAAAGAAAACATAGGGAGCCACAAAATATGAGTGAGCATGGCCAACTTGACATCACTCACCCACATAATCACATGACACCCCCTCCTAGCCATGCCTACCTAGGTTTTGTGGCCCCCAGTGTTTTATTTTCTGTTGGAAACAGATCTCTCTCTCTCTCTCTCTCTCTCTCTCATGTGTTTGTGTTCTCTCTTGAACCATTTCCAAAAACAGACGAGGGTTGAGGTTTTTTTTTCTGATGTTGTTCTTCCTTCTTCTTTGGGTGCTTTTTACTATATGATTTAAATCAAGAATCATTTCAGGCTCCCAGATAAATGAAGCTCTTTCATCCCCCTGCTGTGGCTCCCTCTCAGCTGAACCCTCCACTGGCTGGCCCTGCTCCTTGCCTTCCCTGAGAAGGTAAGGGTGATGGTTGGTGATGGGGACTCACTCTTGCAGGTGCTTCTTCTGGCCCTTGTTGGTGCTGCATGGGGAGATGCACAATTTGCTCTCCACCCTGAGACACTAGCCCAGTCTGGCTATGGCTGATGCCACTGCTGTTGTCACCTCCAAAGGCTGCCCACTGCTCTTGCAGCGTCTTACACAGCACAGTTAAATTTAGCATGCTTCACAATGGGGGAGACAGTGCCCCTCCTCCTTCTGAAGCCCTTTTATGATGAGGAACATCAGCTGCAGCCGGGACAGTGTCTTGGGGCAGAGAGCAAGTCACACATCTTCCTGAGCAACCAAGGTGTGCAGAGCACCAACAAAAGCCAGAAGAAGTGCCCGCAAGATATGGTAAGTACAGGGGCGTTATGCTCCCACTCTGGAATATTGAGCAAGGCTCCATCCCCAGCCGTCGCCCTTACATTCTCACTGCAGGCAAGGAGTGATTGGAAGGGGCAGGAGCAGCCAGTGGTTGGTTCAGCCGACAGGGAGCCAGAGTAGGGGGATGAAAGAGCCGAAGCAGGTGCCACAGGTTGCAAACACCTATTTTAGCCTCCAGTCCCTTAACCATCTTGGTTGCTCTTCTGTGAACTCATAGTTATGCATGTCTCTCTTTAACTCCACTGGGATAGTGGAATTTAGGAAGGAGGTCCAAGGCTTTCAATTCACATGAAATAATAGTGACTGGTCAGATGTGAGCTTATTTATCCAACGATTGATTAAATTTATTTCCTACCCATCCTACTTTGATAATGGCTTGAAAATTGAAGTACTCAAGCCTGACTTTGTTGCAAAAGAATCCTGATATCAGAAGTAATAAGCAACAATTCAAAGGGAAACATTACTTAAATTTGAGTTTTTACTTTTAAGAGTGCATTATACTGTAGTTTTAGAAATTAGTCGGTCAGTTTTAGTTTTAGTACTAGTTCAGAAGCATGGTAGCCATATGAATTGAACAAATAAATATACCAATAACGAGCATATCCTTTAAGGTTGTCAGCCCTTGTTTTTAAGGAATTTTTCCTCTGTTTCTGAAGTGGGGGATAGTTTTGGATTGCTTTAAAAGGGAAGCAACTTTGCAATTTTTCTTCCAAAAATAAACCTTTCCAGATCCTACTGTTAATCATAGTGTTATTCTAATAAATCTAATGGATTAACATTTACTAAATTTAATAAATCTTTTACAGCAATGTTTACTTTAAAATATGATGTCTTATTTGAAATTCATGCCTATATGAAGAATAGAGCAATACATGTTAATTCCATTTTTAGGCAGAACCTCCCGACTCAATTTCATCCCTTCAAACTTTGTTAAGTAGAAAGGTCCATTTTTTGATATCTGATATATCCCAAGAAAAAAAGGAGGAACTAAATGAGGCATCTGCCTGCAACTGTTTCTTCTTCAACCATTGGGAAGTATCCAGAGATTTCATATTGGCCTGAGTGAAGCCCACAGACTACTTGGGTAATGTTCATGTCTACCTCCATCTTACATGCATGATGAACCTCAACATATTTTCTTTGGCATTTTTTGTTTCTCTTCTCAGTCTCTGCCTCAGTCCAAATGTGTAGAAAAATGTCAGCCTGGATTTGTCATGAAGGCTCGAGAAGGAGAGCCAGTTTGCTGCTATGACTGTGTTCCTTGTCCAGAGGAGACCATCTCCACTCAGGAAGGTGGGCAACACCATAGGGAAACCTACTGGATTCAGCAAAACATGTTTCATGAGGAGCAGAGGTCTTCAAAACTGGGAACTTTAAGACTTATGGACTTCAACTCCCAGAATTCCTGAGCCAGCATGGCTGGCTGGGAAATTCTGGGAGTGGAAGTCCACAAATCTTAAAGTTTCCAAGTTTGGAGACCCCTGATGTGGAGTAATTAAAATGCTACACAAGCCATAAAATAGGAACAGAAAATGCATCAAAAAGCATAGTACCAATGTGATATAGGAAACAATTTCACAAGGGAGAAATGATAAAGCTGCATATAAATACACATAACACCTTTGATCAGGGCACTTTCATCAATGTACATTTTAACAACAAATTTAGGTTTGATGGTTTTGTTCTTAATTTTCAATGGTGTCCAATTACTTCCATGATGGGAGAGATAAGACAAAGATTTTTGAAGGATGAGGTAGGAAGAAGGAGGTTGTGAATTGGTTAGGAAATCTCTCTTTTATTTGCCAATTTGGATGTGTCCTTCCATATTTATCTTTCTTAGGAACTTCTGAATTCTCTGTAACTTGAGTAATATTTTTAGTTCATAGGGCTTTGCTCACACAAACCAACTTTATATTACAGGCCAAAAGACTCATCAATCATACATTTAATCAGTTAATCTTTATTAAGATCATAAATCATAAGCTGAAATATCTAATTGGGAGGATGATTGAGGGAGAGATTTTTAGGTTGAAGGAGCAATGAAATCAAACAGATGCCTCATCATAAAACCATCAAGCGGATATTTCCTTCCCACCTTTTCTTATCGTTCCAATTTTCTTTATTGTTAAATATTGAGATACAAACTGTTATAACACCAATAAAAAAGGAATATACTCCTGGTTTTGAAATGGGGGGGAGTGTAACATGCAGGACAACTTTTATCCTGTTTCCAATATTTTTAGAACAATTGATTGAGAGCCAAGTTGGTGGGTCAATAATCAATAAATGAGTTTAAATATTCCTGGGAGAAATATATGTATAGCATCTGTCAAAAATAAAAATTAAAACAAGGAAACAAACAAACTCAAAGTAAAGTAAGTGAAAGATCAGAATCTGGTGGATTAACTCAGAGAAGGGAGTTTGTGGCACCAGATATTTCTTCTTTTAATTTTGTTGTTGTTCTTGGTTGTTATTGTTTTTTGTTACAGTTGTATATATTGGTGATTATTTTACTGGAATGTGTGTGTATACTACTTACTGAGGCTTTCCTGTTACTCAGCATCAAATCACATCTAAAAGGGTTCTTGAAATTTGAAAGACTATGAAAGAAATGTTACTATGTTTTCTCAGATATTGAAAAATGCACCAAATGTCCAGATGAACAATATCCAAACAAGAATCGAGTCAAATGTATCTCCAAAAGAATAACCTTCCTGTCCTATGAAGATCATCTGGGCATAATCCTTGTGTTCTTTGCTCTACTCTTGTTCCTAACAACAAGCCTTGTTTTAATCCTATTCCTTAAATATCTAGAAACTTCCATTGTCAAAGCCAACAACCGGGACCTCTCCTTCACCCTCCTGATCTCCCTCCAGCTTTGTTTTTTGTCCTCCATTCTCTTCATCGGACAACCAAGGAAAGCCACCTGTCTTCTCCGACAAACAGTGTTCAGCATTGTCTTCTCAGTAGCTGTATCTTCTGTGTTGTCCAAAACAGTCATGGTGGTGCTGGCCTTCCTGGCCACAAAACCAGGAAACAGGATGAGAAGATGGTTAGGGAAGAGCTTAGCCAACTCCATCATCCTTTCTTGTTCTGGTGTACAAATTTTCATTTGTGCCATGTGGCTGGGAGTTTCTCCCCCATTCCCTGACTCTGACCTGCACTCCCAGTCTGCAGAGATTATCCTTCAATGCAACGAAGGCTCCATCACCATGTTTTATGTTGTCCTTGGCTACATGGGTTTCCTAGCTGCCGTTTGCTTCATTGTGGCTTTCTTGGCTAGGAACCTG